ATATTAAAACACCAGTTTATAATTTCAAACAATGCCTTATTAGACACTCTCCACCCTCACACTCCCCCTATAGTGTCTACGTGTTTCATGAAAAGCCCCTTTTATAATATGATATTACGCAGCATAAAGGTCGACTCCGTACGGAAGTAATTTGCATGTGCATGTCAACTCATCCAAAGTATTTCTTGAAATCATCGAAGCCCACGGTCAACGATCGTGTAACGTATTGATCTTTTGTCCACAGCATGTCAGCCACCATAAATCTATAGTTGGACTCAAAATTATTAAGCACAATCTTCTTTAGGCCTACGTTAATCTTGCTAAGAAGTAGAACAAGATGTTAAGAAGTTTATGTTCTAAATAGTGCATTCATCATTAGTTGCTTGAAATGCCCATACCTTTAATAGTTTTATAGAAGTAGCAACGTCAACAAATTTATAGTTGGTATAATTTAATGATGGAAAGCTATACAAATGATCCAGGATCTTCCAAAACTTCGCGGAGAACGCAAGCACGCTCATGCAAGCACAAGATAAAAGACGTCAAACGCAACGTAGCCATCAAAGCAACACTGAAAGTAACAGTTCCTAGTGGGACTAACATGCGTAGAATATCCTACTTCATTGCAAATTTCTAGGCATAACAGTCCCATTAAATATTGTTCGTATAAAAATAGGCTTAACTGTTTTCATTGAAGGTAATTTCTGTAGTTTTCACTAAAACATATTGATTCTGTTGAAATGTGAATAATGCGGTAACTTATTTTAACGTATATTTCTTCCAATGAGCAGAAATGATTCGAAACATTATTCGCGATTTTCTCAGAAGCAACTTTTGAAACATGGGACTGATATGCGTAGAACGGCAGTATAGGATTGTTCAACTTGTCGAAGGTGGCTGATAGTTCAGTATAGATGACATCTGTTTGCATATGGTCTGTCATACTCTCCGTAATGTACGAGGTGAGACGCAGAAGGTTGGAAGTAGTCGACCGTCCTGCCATGAAACCATGCTGGTCTTCGCTCAAGTGCTTGAAGTGAGAGACTAATGGTACCATAACGACCAACTCGAACAGTTTAGATGTGGCACTCAACGATGTGATGCCGCGATAGTTGTTGATGTTTCTTTTGCATCCTCTCTTCTGCACTGGAAACATCTCAGCTGATTTCCAGCAGGAAGGAAACACTCTACTGGAGAGGGACATTTCGAACAGAAGGTAGAGAGGAGCAACCAGGCTATCGATGTGTTGCTTGAGAAAGACGGAAGGAACTCCGTCAGGTCCAGGCTTAAATGAAGACTTCAGTTGCGAAGCCGCCCTAGTTATCATAGCGAGGTCGATGTTGATAGCTGCCAAAGATTGACCAGACATTGGAACATTACTGGCTGCTAGAGAAACGTGCTCGTCAGATAGGTTCTCATCCGAGAATACATTCGCAAACTTGGTTGAAAACAGACGGCAAATGTCCTGAGGGGATGAAGTTTCTTCGCCATTCAGTACCAAATTCGATGGAAGGCCAGACTCCTTTCGTTGCTCATTCTCATAATTCTTAAAAATTTTCGGGTGAGATCGAAGCTTCCGTTGAACATCTCGTTGATAATGCCGATAACATTGGCGACTGGTTCGTTGATATGCATGATTGATCCTCGCATAATGGTCCTTGAGTTGTAGGGTGTGGTACTTGATGTATTTTCTAGGCGCGGATCTTTTGGAAGATTTCAACAAACGTAGTTAACTTGTTTGCCAAGGATGATGATTACCTTGCTTAGGAACTTTTTTCGGAACGTGTCAAATGCAGTACCCTTAATTCAAATAATGCTGCAAGTCTCACAAAACAAACTACAGAAGTTATATTCATCATCCTCTAGTGTCGGTCTCCAACTGTTACCGGCCGCAGATAGACCGTTGCTTTTCACATCATGAAACCCTAAAACACAGGACTTTTATTATCGTATGGCCACAAAACACCAAAATTTCGCACTCCCGCTACTTCCCGCGTCATCCTCAATCCGATTTATCCTTGCGATTTCAAACCAAAACTTTCAAGGTGTCAGAAATACCAGGTTGCCGGGATGGGTATTTTACAAACAATCGCAGCTTGCTATATGACCGGCATAATCGGCACACCTGCGGCACACTGACAAAAAAGGTGGCCCAAGATTGATGTGCGGAATGACCTACCCCTGGGTGATAGCACATCAGTCCCCTCGCGGTTTTCGTTACATCATTTAATTTCCGCGGTTTTTACGACTGAAAGATCAAATCCGCGAAAATCACGAAATCCGCGAATATTGTAACCTAAGAGGAAGAGACAACTGGCTTCTTTTTGTCTGTGACGTGTTCTTCTTGCCTCACGGAAACGAACTTGCCAAAACTAGAGTCGGTGTATACATTACGATGCTATGAAAGGTCCGCGAAAGGTATTGCAAAAAATATAAAATATTGCTGATTGCATCTGAAACTGGACTGCTACAAAAATACAAAAAGTGTGATAAAAGTGCACCTTTGCGTCAAATCGTTTTGGTGTCTTCGGAGCACTTGTTGCTTGCATCATAAGAAATAAGTGCACGGAACATACCAAGACGATTAGAAGGAAGCTCGCACTTTAATCACACTTTTAAATAAGTGAAAACGCGCTTACTAGTCCAGTTTGGTGTGAAATGCGCAATATAATCGAAGAAATGATCATAAACACGCAGTGAGCAATAAATTGTCATGGGATACGTATGGTAATGATCACTTATGAGAATTTCTACTATTTTTGGTTAAGATAATTTGACTAAATCACTGATATAATGATTTACTACAGCCGCTACTTTTTTTTCTCGCTAGAAATCATTTGAAGTTGATGTAGAAGTCCTCTGTTGCCAAGTGAAAAGAAAGGGACTCTTTCGAAAACCGTGATGCAAGTTCAACTGTTTTTCTCTTGGCGTGACTCATTATACACCGACTCTAGCCAAAACTATTTCATTATGGGCGACGCAGTCGACTGTCAAAATACAAGAAAAAAGATTACCTGATGTAAAAATTCTCGCGTTTCTATCTAAGAGAAGAGGTGACAATACGGGGGCAAAAATGAACCACTTTTCTGACAAACGTGAACCAGCTTGTGATTGACTGATTTGATGTGCGTAAGATAGAGATAGACATAGATAAAGATAGAGATAGAGATAGATATTAAAGAGTAAGAAGCCGAACAATCAGCCAATTTGTTTTGGTTTGTTATTGTTATTGTGTGCATAGAATCGACTATTGTCTCCACAGGAATAAACATGAAACTGTTATCTTGACATTTTTACCTAGGGGATGAGTACTTAAGGTTATTCGCTGTGGCATCCTTATTCTCGTAACCACTTCAAAACTTTGAGTGCACAAATATCAGCTTCTACGACACGTGCAACATTCAAATTGTTACTTCACGTTTGCTGCACTGCAGCATACATGAAGTAGCAATTTCAAATTAAATGGAGCACTGATCTGTGTAATTAAAAATTCGAAGTGGAAGTCCATATATAGCCTACGTGGCAGCCATTTGAGACTCTACAAGGAATCACCTTAAGGGGATTAGATTTTGATAAGTTCTTTAGTGGGCATGACACTGATGAAGACTGCACATTGTAGTCGAAATACGTATCTGTCATGGATATCAACATTAATTACCCAACGCAATTTCATAACTTCACACTGACTTTAGAAATAAACCTAACTATCAAATAAATGTTGAACAACTTTACCGAAGATAAACAATTTCATCAATTCTAGTATATACTGCCGCTCTTCGCATGTCCGTCCTATAGCGAAAATAAGCAAACCGAGGAAATCTCGCGTAACATTTGAAAAGGGCCTATGTCCAAAATGTAAACAAACCGATTTTTGATACCATTCTGTAGCACTGGTAATTAGCTACCAGTCGTATAGGAATGTTCCGCATTATCGATAAAAATCATTAAAAATAACTTGATTTTAAAAACGGCCGATCCACCAAATTTTTCCAATCATTCATGCTAAAACGGCCTAACCTCGGGCCTAAAATATATTTTTTTTCGTTCGATGAGGTTCCATTCATAAGCCTAGCGACGTAGAAGGGCCGATGATTGAAAAATTTCAAATCAAAGCTAAGCCCTACTGCTTGAGGCAGGGCCGATGATTTATTTGACGTTAAGAAAAGGCTTAGCAAAGGGCCTACAATTTATGATGACAAGCACAACGGCTTAACAAAAAGGGCCTAACCATTTAAAGATTCACAAAAAGGCTTATTACTGTGATATTAAATTTTTATCGATTTTCATGTATTTTTGAAAACGTTTCGCATGTTTTGGATGTTGTGTACTGAGATATAGTTACTATTGTTATTGTGAACAATATAAATGCCTAAAATACTTCAATCTATTTATATAGGAATTAAATACTGGCGGAAAAATTTACAATTCATTTTCTGGATTGTTTACATTTTGGACATAGGCCCTTTTCAAATGTTACGCGAGAAATCGCATTTTAAATTTGCTTCGAACCATTGGATGGGACAACCAATTTGACTGTCTTTCCAAACTTTTCCAGAACAAAGTTTTTGAGTTCATCCAGTATTATGAAAATATGGGTAATTAGCTACCATTTCCATTGAAAATCTCAGTTTTGACGAAAACGACTATGGGACCGAAAATCAACAGTGGCAGTATAGTGCGTCGATTTGAAGTCGATCTCAAAATGATACCCGATATAAAGTTCTTGCTTACTTTTTCCAAGGGACGTATAAGCTTTTGTAAACAATGCATTTGTTCGTCAGTTTGGCGTAACTGGTAGCTCGCCCACGCGTACTAACACCACTATCAGGTAGGGGAAATTTCCCCTGATACGCCTCTTCGAAAAAGTAATCGAGAAAATTTCATTCAATGATACCGATAATTCTGTGGTGCCATTGACCCTGAAATCACTGCAGCCTATCCCCATGCCCGCACGTTCTCAAGCAAAGAAAAAAAAAAAAGAATGACTACACTGCGCTCACCTTGAAGTTGAACACGAACCGACCCCCTTTGTAGAATCCTTCGTCCGGGCAGATGACCAGCTTGAAGTTGAGTAAATCATCCGGATCGGGGAATTCCGTGGCGCACGTCTTGGGCAAGTTCAGCTCATTGATATCTGCCAAGCGGAACGGAAATCAATATAATCGAAATCGATTAACCATTGGTTGTTTGTTTACCTTTTGTGATTCTCAGCTGGGCTGCGGTGAAGGCCTTCTTCTGGGGGCCAGACTTTGGAGTTGCCTCACCGTCCTTCTTCTGTTGCTTCAGCGAGAATAGTTTGATCATTTTGTCCTGCGATTGCCTACTGGTTGTTGATTACGGACGACGACGGAGCTGTTGTTGGTGTGGAACAGCGGACGAAAAAAGAAAAACCCAAGTTTTGACAGCCACTTCCAAGAGAAGACGGATTTTTCTCTTCCTGCTTCTGGTGAGCTGGTCGCGATTTTCTTCACTATTATTATGCTCTTCTGTTATGTCAAAACTACGGCGGGGAGTAGTTCTTCACCCTGAAGACGATGATGGATGGTGTCCCAGGCAGCTCTTTTGAAGTAAATGCGATGCGATGACGGAGGACGGGGAAAAGCAGAAGATTTTACGACGGACGCTTCTCGCGGATATAAACGCACCACTACTCACTGTGGACCGCTTTTTCGACACTGCTTTGGCCACCGGGTTGGGAACCGTGACGGGAAATAAAGATTTCCGCGCTCGCTGCCCGCAGTACTGGTGGCAAAGGTATTTATTTTGGCAAAATTCCGTGGTAACTTTTCACTTTTCGTCGCTGCAGTTTTCCTTTCTCTTGCGATCGCCACTCGTACAATCAATCAACAACGACGGACGAGGAGATGAGGATGAGACACTCGCGCTCGCACAAACACAAACACGCCCGAGTGAAACGGAACGACGGCAAGGATGGCTGAAGTTAAAGGTTTAGTCAAATCGTAGGGTCTTAAATTTGTTGCATGCAAGTCGATTCAAGCTGAGCAATTCATTAGGCTCTAAGTAAAATGGATCGATTCTCTTAATCAACTTTCGCTTTCGTTAGTAACACGGGTATAAAGAACAGTTTTTTCGTGTTTGTCGTATTAGAAGCACCGGCAAACCGACATGAATAACAATAAAATTTCTGACCAAAGCACACTTCTAACATCACGCTCCGTGTTCGTGGGAAATATTTAGCCAAGCCATGAACTGCCGTTCTACGCATTTCTGTCCCATGTTACTTTTGGACGTTTTTCACTTCTGTTCATAAAACAATACATTTTTAGGTAAACTTTCGAATGAAAATAGAAAACATGTTATTTGTTTTGGCCTTATTTAAAAACAACATCATTGTCCCATGTTGAAATTCTACGCATAACTGTCCCACAAAGAATTTTTTTCTGAATCTTTTATTAACGAATCGATTTGAGTGCATGAATTATTGAAACAGGATTTATAAATATGATCAAAAGAAACTCAATGAGTCATTTCGGGAAGTAGAAGCTTTATTTCATGATGAAAAATAGAAGTAGAAGCTTTATTTTATGATGGAAAATATTAAGAGAAACGGGAATTCATATTAAAACACCAGATTATAGTTCAGATTTAAGAAGCATAAGATAAGAAGCAGTGTAATGATCTTACAATAAACCAAAGACAAAATAACATGATTTAAAATTTAATTGTTTGTAGCAACGATGTATAAACATCTTACAATATTGACATGATTGAAAAAGTACGTATTATTGTCTAAAACAACTCGAAGCAACGCAGTTAACAATGATGGCACTTTCTGTCACTTGATGTGTTTATTCATCTAGTTAATAGCTGCTACCATATTTTGGAGTTAAAATAAGGTTCCTGTTGACTGATTCAGAATATCTGTTGTCGTATAGTCCTTTCGTAAATTCAGTCGTTAGAATGTTCTCAATATACTGCCGTGGATGCATTTGGTTGAATATAATGAAATCCTTACTGTGTATGTTAACTTTTTCAAAGTCTTTCTTGAAATCATCGGTTGACAATCTTATTGTGTTCTGCACAGAGCATTCATCATTTGTTTCTCAAGATGCACATTAGAGTGATGCAAATTTTGATATTTTCGCTCCACAATACTTAAACGATTCCAAATCAGATCCTGACTAACCTCTCAAAGTTTGAACCCATTTGGTGAGAGACTGAGATGGCACAAACCATTTGAAGTTTGAATGGGAATTACCATGGTAAAACCAAGATTTTTGTTCATGTCTATCTAATAATTCATCATATTGGTCTGCTTCAAAAGTTTTCAACTGTACTTGTAGGAAATTTTCCCAGCTAAAACTTTGCTCAAGACCACTTTTTTATTAAATGCAAGGATCGAAAGTTATCAATGGTTCAATGCGCTGATGTCTTATGATCATGCTCAATCATATGCTCAGCAGGCAACATTGGTGTTTCTGGGGCGTTGAATAGGACACAAAAATCATGGCTACTATGTCCGAGACTATGTCACACTGCAAAATACAGAGTTGCCTACAGAGCAGCTGCTTGATCATGTCATAAGTTTACCAATTTCTTAAATAATTAGTAACATTTTCCTGTCTCGTTTTACATAGAAACAATCTTTAGCAAAGTTGTAGCTGAGAAAATTTTCTATAAGAATAGCTATCGAACTGTTTCGCAGCTCAATATGGAAAAAGTCTAGAAGGCAATGAACAAAAAGTTGAGATTTCCCATAGTAATTTACATGTAAACTTCAAATGGCTTGTGCGAAGTCTGTTTCTAACCAAATGAGTTGTAACTTTGGGAGGCTAATCAGGACCCGATTTGAAACCATTTGAGCACTGTGGAACGAAAAAGTCAAATTTTGCATCAGTCTAATGCCCATACTTATAGCACAGACAAACAGACATAACACATTGAATATTTGTCACTGTAAAACATCGTCGCTAAAACATTACTGCCATCTGTTGATTACACCATCGTGGGTAGTACGCCGAACAAATTGATTCTGTTGAAATGTGAACAATACACTAACTTATTTTAACTTATATTTCTTCCAATGAGCAGAAATGATTCGAAACATTATTCGCGATTTTCTCAGATGTTACTTTTAGAACATGGGACAGATATGCGTAGAACGGCAGTGAACCCGCATGCAAAATATATGAATTGGTTCGTGTCTGATCAATTCTGGACAAATTATTTTTTATCTAGATCAAAAATGTGTATGGTTTTCGAGATGGTTTTGACAGTTCGGATCACTGCAGATTTAAATCAGCCGTTTCCGATTTTCGGGCATAAGTCAGAATTAAGTGTCATGTCGGTTTGTCGGTGTTAGAAAATTTAATAGAGCTTTTTGACGTTTAATCGGCGCACACTACTGCACCATTTAAATCGAACGAGTGCGAGCAAGAGGGAAACAAATTAGTGGGAAAACAAACCATGCATTCATCCATGTGTGCTAGATAGAGAAAGACGATTAAACGTCGAAAAGGTCTATAGGTTCTTTCTTCGATCTGTGTGCTGAAAATAGCTGAGAATGGCCGTGCACTCAAAAAATAAATCTCGTGTTACTTTTCAAATAGACCAATGTAACAAATGTAATCGAGTTAAGCGATACAAACTACCCGAATAGAAATTGTAATGTAGGAAACATCAGCAGACATCTTCAATACATTAAATTTTAATGTGTATTGCTGTACCCTTAATGTATTCAGACTTCAGTGTGACATCCAAGTACATAAAAATACATTAGCCTCAAACGTTACATCAGAATCAAACGTCTTGACGATGTAAAATTTGACATCAGAATACATCCAATGACAACAGAACCAAACGTTACATAAGAATCAAACTTCATCACGATGTAATTTGTTGCACGCATAAAACATCAGAATACATCCAATGACAACAGAACCAAACGTTACATAAGAATCAAACTTCATCACGATGTAATTTGTTGCACGCATAAAACATCAGAATACATCCAATGACAACAGAACCTAACGTTACATTAGAATCAAACTTCATCACGATGTAAATTGTTGTCCTTCGGTCCCTCGTCGCATGCAAAGTTTGTTTTGTCCTGAGTCAGCACTACACGGTGAATGAGAACACCCAAATTTGAGTTTAGTTCACTCATAAATCGCAAAAAGTACAGGAACTCAGTTTTGAGTTAATTTACCTCTGTTTTTCCAGGTTTTTCCAGTAAAATTTTTCCGAATATAAGAAAAGTAAAGATTGGATTCTGTGGATTTTCCGAGGGATTTTCGTCAATCCTAATTTTCCGGAAGATTTTTGAAGTTTTCCACCGGAAAACATGAGGCAAATCTCGAGGCAAATTTACTCATCGCTGCGTTCCTGCATTTTTTGCGATTTTGAGTACACTGTATTCAAATTTGGGTTGATCACATTGGCCGTGTACAGTTTTTTTTTCGCTGTGTCCGTCGCGAGTTTTGGTGGCGATTCGGTGTCCGGCGTTGCGGCAAATCCTTTGGTTTGTTTTTTCCGTCGATCTTGTTTTCCGTGCTGAGCACCAATGCTACCGACGTGCCAGGAAGGCAGCTCCCACACCTGGACCCCCGCCAGTTTCGAAGATTGCGAGTCCCGCGATCGCCCTTGGAAAAGGAAGGCTGTTTTTCAGGTAAGTAAAATTTAAAATTTTAAATTAATGTACTGTAATTATGTTTTTTTTAGGAAAGTGCACCAGTGCGAAGCCGGATCCCGGTAGGGAGTCCGAAGCTGGATCCCGGCGGGGAATTCGAAGCCGGATCTCTTTGCAGGTTAGTGAATGTGTTTATTGTTTTTTTTTATTTGATTGACAAATAAATAAATAAATAGGGGGAAGAGGGGCATAGTGAGCATCCCGCAGTTTGGCTTTGGATCTCCAGCTGCATGAAACAAATCAACTGGTAGTAGGTTCAATATCATTATGATATTGATCCTACCACCAACAATTTTTTTTTTTCCGAACAGCCGGAAGTTCAAGCTGGATGCTCACTATGCCCCACCTGTTCACTATGCCCCTCTTACCCCTACTAAAAGCTAAAATAAAGTGGAAAATGACGGGTTCCGTAGGCGGATCCCGATGACGGGTTCCGTAGACGGATCCCGATGGGGATTTCGTAGACGGATTCCGATGGGGAAACCGAATACGAATCCCGATGGGGAAACCGAATACGGATCCCGATGGGGAAACCGAATACGGATACCGATGGGGAAACCGAATACGGATCCCGATGGGGAAACCGAATACGGATCCCGATGGGGAAACCGAATACGCATATATTGCTCTTCTATCATTGTATGTGATACAAAAACAACCATCCAAATTTACTTTCAATTTAAGATAATCATAGGTCAAAAATTGTCCAATGTACAGTTTGAAATGATGGGTACATGTTTGTTACTTCGGTCATTCGGAGTGCCTAACATGATTGGTGCTCATTTTCCAAAGGCGTGACCAATCTAAAGTTAGGTACTCTACTCTGAAATCTGTGAAAGGGAATTTAGTATCATGTAGACAAAACATTGATTATGTCATTGAGAAAAATCGTCCAATGTAGCATGTCTGATGTACAACTTGACTTGTCAAAACGTCCCATGTGGTTTTTTTTCTATATTGTAGCGTGAAATTCAAAGTAAAATTGTGATTTTACCGTTTCTACTGAATTTTAAACGTTCTTATTCACTGACTACATTAAAAATAGCATTGCAAAATGTATTGCTTCTTAACAGTTAAAATAATAATCTGTCGAACTTCAACTTCGATTTTCTCAAAATGGAGGATAAGTTACATTGGTCTATTTGAAAAGTGACGCGAGAAATCACATTTCCAATGGAAAATATCAATTAGAATTTCACATAACTTTCATGTGATCTCATAATTGGGAATCGCACTACAAAATCACATGAACCTTATGTGTCCAATGAAATTTATGTGTTTTATCACATAGAATTCATGTTATCATATGAATGTTATGTGAATTTCAGATAAAAATCATTAATTTTGTTATTAGAAAAATATCATGTGCGTTCCCAATGGAAACTATATGAAAACTTTTTTCGGTGTGAGGATGCTAAGAAAAAATGGTCGAAGAGATTCTGTCAATGTTATTTAGGACCTAATGCATTTTTCAGCTTGAATTGATTGTTTCTCAACACGGAAAACGAAAACCATTCATATTTCAACAGTGAGCGTTTAAAAGAGACTAATTCTCGATGAACATTTCAAATGGTCCTATCTGCTTTGATCGATTCTCTTCATCGACTTTCTCTTTCGTCAATAACTCAGCTGCAAAACCTTTCCCTGTTGTATTTGACGTTTTGGACGCTAGATAAGAACCTCCTTTATCAAACTATGTGGTAGAATTAACGCGAAATCTGTTTGCATAGCAGTGGTTATGAAAAGAGAAAGTCGATTAAGAGAATCGATCAAAGCAGATAGGACCATTTGAAATGTTCATCGAGAATTGCAATGATCGACTTTCATCGATTTTCTTTTTAAATTGTTACAGTTAAACGAAACTATTTTCTGAAATTTGTATAATTCTGTACTGCGATAGGTTGTATTGACTATCAAAAGGAACAGCAAACGCACCGACAAATCGACAGTGAGCATGCATAAGGGCGAATACGCGATGATCGATTCTCTTCATCGATTTTCTCTTTGCATTGCTACAGCTAAGCAAAACAATTTTCTAGAATTTGTTCAATGCAGAGTAGTAACAGGTTGTATTGGCTATCAAAAGCAACAGCAAACGCACCGAGGAACGTTAAATCTAGCGAGTTATTAACAAAAGAGAAAATCGACGAAGAGAATCGATCATCGCGTATAGGCCCTTATGCATGCTCACTGTCGAAATGTTAATCCAACTTATTAACAATAGAGAAAATCGCTCGGAAAATCGACGAAGAGAATCGATCATTGCAATAACGTCCTTATGGAAGCTCACTGTCGATTTAATATTTTTTTCTGAAAAATGTCGGTTACTTGTCCGTCATATAAATTTTAATCATATTTGTACAGTCATTTAACAATTTAAAAAAAAAACCATACAAAAATGATTAAACATAATAATATCATATAACCACGCTTATTACCGTTAAATCTACTACCTGATCTACTATGAATTCAGTATAGTTGACTATGAATGTTAATAAAATTACTATGATTCTGGCAAAACTACTATGCTTGCTTAAAATGCATAGTAATTTTGATAGAAATAATAGTAAAATTATATGAAATTGTTTTCTGCCAAAATCTATTGGTGAATGTATTCGCGCAATATTTAATTTAAACCTTCAATTAGTATTTTTTCAAATGAATTTTGTTTCAGTGTACATATTCTGGGTCGCCCTAAAGAATGATACCCTTGTTCCAACAAGTGAACTCATTTCAATTTGGCAACACTGCCAGCAGCCGACCGTTAAATGTCAAAATTCGTCAACATCAACATAATACTCTCCTCGGTATACAGTAGTTAACACAATAGGTGTAGTTTTGTGGACTAGTTTGTAATTTTCGGTAATTTCTTGTAACAAAACCGTTCGTAATCATGCTAAAAAATGGCTTTATTGTTCCAGCAGGTTGCTCCTTTCGCAACATGATCATGGACAATCAGAAAACGACCAGCAAAACAACGCTTCTCAAACTGATGTTGATGCGAGCCTGGAAGGAGCGCTGGACCGACTGCCAGTGGGGAATCAACGTAAAAACGGTGAGTCCAGTTTCTCGTGACCTGCACGAAGGGATGCGTCCAGCTCTGCAAGAAGTTGCCGCTGGTGCGTGGTCACTTTGGTTGGAATGCGTATTTTTACTCTCACAATATGTTGACCTCGTTCCTGCGAAGACAGGTCCCAAACGCCCTTACCGGGGATATGAATTTCCGTGTCTGGTTGCGTTCCCGGTGGGATGTGCACGTTGAAGATACCGTTGATCCCTTTGATGGGGATGTTGGCACCGAGAATCGCTTGCGTCAGCGATATTTGCTCGGTCGAGTGGATATTGAGCCCTTCACGGTGGAAGCGGTCCACGTCCTGTACGTTGAGAATGATGTTGACCGACCGCTGGTGGCCCGGGACGCGAACTTTGATGACGTCTCGATTCTTCGATCCCTTGGGGATGTTAACCGAGATGGGGTGTGGTTTCAGTGTCACTCCCTTGCCGAGACATTTGGGACAGATCAGCTTCTGCGGAGCGGTACGTATGCCTTTGCAAAATTTACACGTCATCCAGAGGGTGCCGTTTTCGGTTTGAAGAGTTTGTTTCCCAGTTCCCTGGCATACCTTGCAGAAGCCTTCGCTGTCCAGCGGAGGGAAACTGCCCCAGGCGGAACATTTGTCGCATTTGGATCCGATCGGTAGCTTCACCTCACGCCTACCGCCTTCGAAGGCTTCCTTGAACGAGATGCTCAAAATGACGTCCTTGTAGTTGAGTTCGTTGACCGTGTTCCAGGTGGATGCGATCGATTTGTGACGCTCCCGGGTGACATTTCTGAGCATTTTGAAATTAGGAGTTATCTCAATCATCTCAATCGATTACGCTTACCTGTACAATTCCGGATTGAGGGCAATTACGCTGTCACCCTTTTTGTTCTCGTTCATCAGCGCTTCGTAGGCTTCGGTAATCTCCTTGAATTTGGCTTCATCAACCGGCGCCTGTAGGTTCGAACCGGGACGCTGCAGATCCGGATGCGATTCTTTGGCCAATGCGTAGTAAGCCTGTTTAATCTCCCTGAAGCTGGCCGACCGTTTCACTCCCAGAATGCTGTAGTAGTCTTTCGCTACGGCAGTCACTTGCTGGAGCCTCGGGGCCGGAGCCGGAGCCGTCGACGGTTGGATGTATTTGAATTTGGGTTTGGCAGGTGCCGGAGGCACACCACGGATGTACCGAATCAAACCGGAACCGAGCTTGAATTTGTCGATCATGTTTAGATGTGCGGTAGATCGGGTGGCAAATGATTTGATTCAAATTTGGATGACAACCTCTGCAAGTGACGAGTCTTTATTTTTTTGGTGGGTTGCTCGGATTTGTTCAGACTAAAAAAAAATAAAGTCTTTCTTGGGAAAATATACAAAGTCAAGTACAAAGTGTAGTACTAGAATTTCGACTAAAATGGGGTGCGTTAATCGATTTGCTTGGGACCAATAGGCTAGTCAAGTAGTTAGCCAATTTAAAAACGTTAGTTGCCACCAGTTGGTACTAATTTGTATGTCTGTCGATGTTATAACGATTTTAAATTGGCTCACTACTTGACTAGCCTATTGGTCCCAAGCAAATCGATTTACGGTCCCCTATTCTAGTAAAAATTCTAGTACTACACGATGTTTGTTTTGATTCGCTATGAAAGTTTGACAGATAAAATGAGGGGTTCGTGGATTTTCCTATGTTTTGAGGGGTGCATCGTTTAGCTTGGGACCGAAGATAGTACCAGAGCTGAGTCAAAAAGTTGAGCACGTTTCTTCGGGACCTTCTGGTCTTAGAGTTACCTCTATGCTTATACGCCTTTAGCCATTTCATTTTCCCAACCGCTGCTTCACTTATAATCATCTATTTATCGCAGGTCCTGACACGTGGCGTGAGTGGCGACGTCTACAATTTGGCAGATTGTATCCTGCAACAAGCGGTAGTCGGCTCCGGGGCCAATACAGTAAGTTCCCAAACCATGCCCATCTACAGCTCGTTCTAAACCGATCCACTCTTTTATTCCAGCTATTTCTGTCCTACCTCAAACACTCGCTGTGTGCCCACCTGATCTCGCACGCGGCCGTCCTCAAGCGCATCTCCAAGTACGAACACTTCGAGATGCATCACTGCCTGATCGCCTTGCTGGAGTTCCTGGAATCGATCATCGTTGGAGTGACGTGCCGTGGCAAGCAGGAGGAGGGGCTGCTCACCAAAGCCATGCTTTCGCTGGTCTATTGGTTGATGCAGATCTACGAGAATGCTATTGAGAGTTACAGTGAGCATCGCTCGCTGACCACCGAGCAGCAGCAGGTGGTGGAAAAGATGGTCAATGTGTTGGAGAAAATCGTACAAAGTCAGTTTCTGGTGGGTGTTGTTTACGTGGGCAAGTTCGAGGATCCGGATTTGTTTGTCATGCTGAAGAAAAAGTGCCACCGCATCGATAACCTGACGGCCTCGTCCGGATTCGTTCCGCCGGTGGGCAGCCAGAAGAATGTGACGGTGAATGACTACATCCGGAAGGTGGGTTGCATCGATGCGGACACTTTGGACATGAAGGCATTCGATGGAAGGGGTGTGGAGCCGATTACGTACTGTTTGCAGCCGTTGATTGCGATCGACATTCTGTTCAATCCCAACTGCGACACCCAGACCTACGTTTCGGAGTTTCTGTCGATACAAACTCTGAAGGGCTATTCGCTATCGAGGCTGTACTGTGAGATCATTCGTGCTTGTTTGACCTGTTTGAACAACGTCAGCGGGACGAGCAGGGAGTCGTACATTTGTGCGTTTACTTTCATAAAGGTGCCGCAGATTTTGAGGCAAATCCACCTGCAGTCACGGTTGCTGAATCCGAGCGACTTCGAAGACGCCAAGCTCGATTACTCACCGGAGGTCGTTGAAGCATTCGAGCTGTTGCTGCAGGATTCGCCCATCTTGGACTTTATGGATGCGAAGTGTGCTTGCAATACGGTGGAATGTTTGCTGAATGAGATGCTCAAGCACCATCTGATCAATGAGAAATACTCGGAGATGATTGCTGCCAAGAGAGATATGATAACCAGCGGAATGCAAAAGCTGGATTTGAATACCAGCCAGCACTCGATTGTGAAGTTTGTGTTCCGCGCGGAACCCCCGTTGGTTGGGATTCTGAAGACGTTGAGCTCCGATTACAACAAGGTACAGGAAGCGCTGCTCGGAATGCTCTGCCAGGTATTGTCTGGTAACAGCTTCGAGCTAATCCTATCGGTGGCCACCGTTGAGGGCAAGCTGAAAACCTTCGTCTCCGGATTGATCAAATGCAACGAAAGCTCCAAACAGGTGCCGGGAGAAATGGGCAAACCGGCAATGACTCGGGCGGCTCTGTTCGACGTGTCCTTCCTGATGTTGGTCTTCATCGTACAGAACTACGGGTCGGATGTCGTGCTCTCCGATGGCAATGATTCGTTCTTCGAAAAATGGGTTCGCGAGTGTATGGTCGAGAAGCACAAGTCCAAATCGCCGATGAATATGGTCAAGCTGTGCGATCAGAACAAGGTCGACGAGCTGATCGTGAGCCTCAACTCACCGGACGGCTTGAAGGCGACTTCGCTCAAGTGGCAGGAGATTTGCGCCAACATCCCCGGATTGCTCTATCAGGTGCTGCTCGCATGGGAGAACGAAACGCTTTCCACGGGAGAGATCAAAAAGTTCCTGGACAGTCTGAAGGCGCGGTTCTGTTGCTTCTCGATTTGTGCCGCTTCGTGGCTGTGCGCTTATATGCAAATTATCCGCCAGGACGAGCTGCTCAAGCCGATGAATATGATACAGCAATTTTTGACCAACGTTAGCCCGGAGGACATGATGCAGCAGGAGTACTTAAAGGAGCGGCTGGGGCTGACGGTGCAAATCATCCGGAAGATGCAGCAGGATTTCCAACGTTTGCCGGTGACTAGTCCCAAGATGAGGACGCAGCTGCAGTCGCAGAGTCTGATTTCGCAGGCTCCACTGGAGGAACAGTTCGAGGAAGTGTGGAAGGGATTGCTCGAGAGGGGCTGGCTACCGATCGATGCAACGTTGGTCTTGGAGAACTTGCTGCAATCGTGCGGACCGTTCTGGTTGGTGGATAAACTAGTTCAGCAGATATTCCACTGCAAATATATTAGGGTATGGGAAAGGAACGGAATTGACGGACGGTTGGAATGGAACTGAACATGGTTGTTATTTTCAGGAGATGAACAAAACCATGGACATCGTTTTCGCCATTATGCATCTGGATATGGAACGTTGTACGATCGCGCTTCTCTCGCAGCTGGTTCCGATGATGCTGCTGAACAAGCTACAGTAAGTATTGGTTTTCTGGGAATGTTCGATGTAAGATGGGTTCTTCGAGGTCACCTTGACGAGGTGTATTCAAGAGTTTCTAAAGTTTATAGCTCTATACTGCCGCTATTCGCACAACAGTCCCATGTCTAAAAACACGGAGTGGTGAAAAATTGAAATCGATACTTTCATAAACATAGCTATAGGACCTATAGTATAGGTATCTTGTATGCCTTCAAACTAGCGCCAATCCCCAAATGACCTTATTAGGGTATGGGACGGTTATGTCAATAATTTAGACAACAGTTTTCATAGGACAATTCCTATGTTTTTATTAGTAATTCTCAAAGACGTTAAATTGATCACATTTTTGAAGACAACTTAAAATGTCACATGGGACAGTTATGCGAATAGTGACAAAATAGTCTTTTAAGAAAAGTTTAAAAATCTTAAAATAATAAAAACTCAGAATCACAAATTTACTATTTCAACTTTAAAATCTCAGAAAACCTAAAACCTCAAGTTTGTATGTCAACACTGTACTGCATATCGGCCTTTCCTTTTCCACCTTTAGAATCTCCGAAATCGTCGATCCCTTCTCGCGGGTGTTCGCCAAGCTGTGCGTCTACTGCATCATTGCCACCATGGAAGCACCGGTCACACCCACCAAGAAACGTTCCCGCACGGCAATCGCCACCGAAGGCGACGAGTTGGACGCCCTCTGCTCGACGCCAAAGATGCGCAAAATCGGTTCCGAGTCGTGCGACTCCAGCTCCAGCGACTTCATACTGGAACATGCCCTGGCCGCACGGGAAGGTGCTTCCAACCTGAAGGAACCCCTCCAAGGCTGCCTGCAGGCGTTGTTCCGGACTTTTTCACAGTACATCGTATCGGACGAACTGTCGCCGAAGATCTTCTTCATGTTTCAGTTCCTCTCGCTGCTGGTGGAGGTGGGAAAGGACCGGATCAAGCCAGTCCTCAAGCTGATTCCGAACGGGCTGATTCAGAACATGATGAAGATCAACGCCACGGACGATATGACCGTTGGATTTATTCTGAGGTAATGGTGGATAGTGTGATTGGATAGGGCGTTTTTGAACTAAAAGGGCTTTCGTTACAGGTTGTACGATCTGAACACCGCTTCCGGCAGGCAATTTGCCATGTCGGATCTGTGTCTGTTCCGGAACATCCAGATGCGTAAGGATAGTATTAAACTGTAAGTAGCTGTAAGACTATGTTTATTCGGATTTTCGTTCTTCTACGTATTACGACAGGTGATTCCTTCCTCGAGAAGGGAATCTAATAAAACAATTACTTTTATTCGATTGACAAGTACCTACTTAGGCAAGGTTTCAAGTGCTTGGTTCGTTGCGTAGTTGATTATCACTTCTTTGGCTTCCATGGCTACCGTCGCTCGATCTGCTGGCAATACTAAACCGTTCGACGGCTTGTCTGTCGATGCTCCTCGCCTCCAGCTCGATTTCATGGTTCACTGCTGCCGTTTGCCGTTTCAATCGCCGTCTGAAGTTGTAGTAGCCAAGCCCGGCAGCTCCCAGGAGCATAATGGCACCACCGATTGCCATCCCAACGATTGACGCTACAGTCAGCTCAGCTGCGGCCATCCTGGATTCTAACACTGTAATTTCGAACTTTGTATAATGTTCCATCGAGTGCCCTGTTATCTTGCCCGCACAGATCCATTCCCCCAGGTCGGCTGTGGTAACATTCTTAATAACCAGTGAGCAGAATCCCTTCTTCGGTTCGTGCGATGGATTCGAATAGTAATTGTCCAGAATCGCTTGATCTACTGTTATACTCTCGTCCAAGCTGAATGCTTGTCCGCTCGGTGCCACAAACCGACAATACTGGAAGGGTGTATTCTTAGGAATGGAAGAACACTCCACCACAAGGGCGCCTTCCAATGTGGCTACAACCGTTTCCGCCATAGGAAAGATTTGAGATAGACCAACTCTAACGTTAATACGTGTGGATACCTCCAATGGCGTGTACTTACTGCTTCCAACATGGCAGCTCCACTGCCCTGCCATTTCCTCCGTGACTGGTTTCAACCTAATTCCGCAGTCCCCCAAAGACAACGATATTCCACTGTACCAGAAATGCGCATCCTCGGCGGGCGGCAAACCTTCGGAAACCGAATAAATCTCCCCGTGTTGATCCCTGAACCAACAGTAATCCAGCGGTTTGTTCGCATTGCACTGAAGCGTCATCTCCGTGCCGTTCAACACGTTCACATCTTCCGCCGAGATTATAGCCAAGTCTGCTTCCCAATCACCGGTATCCATGATCGCTCCGGAGACCTTCATCATCTCGTCGTTGCCATAGCCGACCAAGCATTTCCACAGTCCCTTGTCGATTGTATCCGGGTCTTCAATCTCCAGTCCGCAATCGCCGGTGTCGAACCCATTGCCGTAGTACCGGTACCGGTCCCATCCGACACCCTGCAGCATGTTGAGGCCCTGGTTGTCGGCCACCCGTACGAACCGGCAGAATCGGATCATCATACGGCTGTAGCGGAGATTGCACATCAGCACGTGGAATGTCGCACCCCGGTGAATCGAGGTTTCTATTTGTTCGTCTGAAGAGAGAAAAAAGCAGGTGCATTTTTTTTTTATTTTCTCAACGGAAATTGTAGTTACGTTAAAGGGAAGTTGAAAGATTTGTTCTTTTTTTTTTAAGTTGAGGTTGAGGTTTTTTGACGTCTTTATACTAGGGGTCACATTAAAAAAAAGAAATCAAAATCAAATCGAACAAACGACACATTGCGCATGCTCACATGAGCGAGCTGAATGCTCGGTTGATCGCTCACCATTTCACCAATGAAAGGAAGGGAGGAAAAAAGCAGCGATAATAAAAACGCTCGCCAAATCGTTTTCTTCGTCATTCTCTGCTTGATCGACAAGCAGTTCAGTTCGGTGTTAGCTCGCTCTCTCGAGTTGTTTGAAAAGTTGTGCGTGAGTGTGTACCCCGAAATGGGCAAACATCGGTCGTGAAGCCCGGCAAAGGTCCAGAACCCCGGTGAAGGAAGCTCCGGTGTGCCTACCTCGAACAAGTTTGCTGTTCTCCCCATGGATGGGAATATCCAGCCAGCTGTGTTGGAAAAACGCAGCAAGAAGAGGAAGAAGAATCGAGGCCAGTCCGATAGCACGATTGGTCGAGACGATGCCTCTGTGACGAACGGAGATTTCGGTGACGCTGCCGATAAAGAAAATGCTGCCGACATGAGCGCGGCAAGATTGAAGCTACCTCCGCTGGTAGTGAAAAATGCCCATCTCAACGAGCTCATCGCGGATCTGGCGTCGCTGGGCGTCAAAGTCGAATTCAAATTGAGCAAAGTCGGCACCAAGATGGTGCTCTGTACCAAAGCGAAGTATGACTTGGTCATCGCCCACCTGAGGACTTACAAGGCGGAATTCTTCACCCACGACATCCCCGGTGAAAACCCGTTCAAGGTCGTCATCAGGGGCCTACCAAATTTCGAACCGAAGTTTATCGAACCGGTACAAGCTGGCCCCAAGTGCCGTGTATCGAATGACAAGAAGAGACGAGAATGTGAAGGCGTATCCGGATAGCCTTTTCCTGGTACACTTCCAGAAGGGAACGGTGACGCTCAACGCACTGAAAGCCATCCGGGCCATCAATTCCATCATCGTTCGCTGGGAGCCATACCGCGGTGGCCATCGCGATGTGACTCAGTGCCAGCGGTGTCTGAACTTCGGACACGGTACCCGCAACTGCAAAATTAAGCCACGCTGCGGAAATTGCGCTCAAGACCATGTCACCTCCGAATGTGCTGCGGATGAAGCTGTGGCGTTCAAATGCGCCAACTGTGGTGGTGCTCACCAAGGATCCAACAAGCAGTGCCCTAAACGCGAGGATTTCAAGCGCATCCGAAATCAAGCGTCCACCAACAATCAACCAGCACGAAGGAAGGGTAAGGCTCCGGCTTTCAGGACGGAGGACTTTCCGCCTCTTCATGGACAAGCGAATCCAAGGGTGCGATCCGTGCCCCCTCAAGAAACGTCTGGATCTTCTGCTGGACAAAGCTCTCCATCCCCCCTGGATTCTGGGGGCAACCAACAGCTCAAACAAATAATCACGATCTGTTCTCAGCAGATGAACTGATGGAGATTTTTATCAACATGACCGGTGCTCTACGTAAGTGCCGCAATAAGCCCGAACAGATCCAAGTGTTCATCATCCATATGGTGTCTAAACCGCTAACCATCGCTACCTGGAACGCTTGCACTGTAAGAGCTAAACAGATTGAGCTTGCCGACTTCCTCCGCAAGCATAGCATCGACGTGGGTCTTCTAACCGAAACCCACCTAAAGTCCGGTGACAGCTTCTGGTTGCCTGACCACAACATTATCCGGCTTGATCGCATCAGCTCCAGGGGAGGTGGTGTAGCGGTCATCGTTAGAAAGGGAATCAAGTTTTGCATTCTGCCCCACATCCGCACTTCTATCATCGGGGCCATTAGTGTGGAGGTGGAATCACCAGCTGGAAACGTCCGGTTTATCGCAGTTTACTGCCTACGCCAGTGTACCACAAGCAACGGCCTTGGCATCAAGAACGACCTGACCTACTAGCTCCCGATTCATCGTTGGGGGCGACCTGAACCCCCGCCATGAAGCTTGGCGGAACTACCAGCGGAACCGGAACGGATGTCTATTGTTCGACCACGCACAACATGGACTGTATACTGTGCAATTTCCGGACGAACCAACTTTCATCTCTCCGACGGGAAATCCCTCCACCCTGGACTTCTTCCTGTCGAACATCGGACTATCCAAGCCGGAGGCGCACAACGATCTCAGCTCCGACCACCAACCGGTGGTGACTGAAGTCGGTGTCAACGTGGTTCCTGCTAGAAGCTGCCTGCGTAAAGACTACCACCATGTCAACTGGGTGCAGTACGGTCGAATGGTGGACAGCAACATCGATAAAAATCCACTGCTCGACACCGTAGATGACATCAACCGGACGTTGGAAGGACTCCAACAGGCCATATCCGAGGCTGACGAGACATGCGTTCGACAAGTTCCTGTGAGGGGTAAGTTTGTTGCTATTGATTCCCACACCCAATTATTGATTCGATTGAGAAATGTGCGTAGATGCCAGTTTCAGAGGACTGGAGACCTGGGCAAAAAACGTGATATGGCCGATCTGAACAGGCAGATTGCTTCCAGAATGGACTCACTCCGGAATGAAAGTTTTGGGCGTTTCGTCCAGAATCTGGACGACCGCTCCAGACCATTCTGGAAGGTAGCCAAGGTCATGAAAAATCATCCCAAACCCGTTCCACCTCTCAGAGTCGAAAATGATGACGATCGGCTTTTAATCACCCCACAGGAGAAAGCAAATGCGATCGGCAAGCATGTCGCTTCATCGCATTTGCTTGGCTCGACCATCCAAAGTCCGCTCGAAGATCAGGTTGCGCAATGCGTTCAAAACCTTGATGCCTCCCCTTGTGTCGTGCCTCCGGCGGATATGATTACAGTACAACAGATTTGCTCAGCGCTGAAATGCACCAAGAACATGAAAGCTCCCGGGTCCCTTGATCTTGAAGAGACTCAGCATGAAAGTGCAGTCTCTTCTAATCACTATATTCAACAAATGCTTGGAACTGCACTACTTTCCAAACATCTGGAAAGTAGCAAAAATCATACCAATCCGCAAGCCCGGTAAGGATCCAATATTGCCTTCAAGCTACAGACCAGCAATCAGCCTCCTTTCAGCACTGAGCAAATTGTTCGAGAAACTCATTCTCAATCGTTTGCTCAAGTTTGACGAGGAAAACAACATTCTCCTTCCGGAACAGTTTGGATTCAGAAAGGGGCACTCCACCAATCATCAGCTAGTACGGGTGATGTATAACATCCGAAGTAACAAGCTGTATCCAAGTCCACAGCCATGGCCTTGTTAGACGTTGAAAAGGCGTTTGACAATGTTTGGCATGATGGACTTGTGTACAAGCTTTGTAACTTCAACTTTCCTTTACATCTGGTTAAAATCACCCGTAACTACCTCCTGAAAAGGTCGTTTAAGGTATCGTTGAATGGTTGTCTTTCAGACACGTTTTCCATCCCAGCAGGAGTCCCGCAAGGCAGTCTGCTGGGCCCCTTGTTTTACAGCATTTACACTTCCGACATTCCTCCCCTCGGAGACGGTTGCGTGTTTTTCCTGTTCGCAGATGATACCGCAGTAGCCGTCAAAGGAAGGATGCCTCGCGAAATAACGAACAAACTTCAACGATGCCTTAACGCCTTTGCTGATTATGCCACCACGTGGAAAATCAAAATCAATGCCTCCAAAACACAAGCGATCATGTTCCTCCATCGGCAATCGCCCAAACTAAAACCGGCTCCTTCTTGTACTGTAATCATGGATGGCACAAGGGTTGAGTGGTCCGCCGAAGTAACCTATCTCGGGATGTTGTTCGATGACAAGCTCCTCTTCCGTCCGCATGTAGAGAAAACAGTAGTCAAGTGTTCTGCCTTGGTTAGGTGTCTGTATCCGCTGATTTGCCGCAGATCCCGCCTCTCAAGGGTGAACAAACTGGCCGTCTACAAACAAACCATAGCACCTGCGATCCTCTACGCAGCTCCGGTGTGGGAATCATGTGCACAGACTCACAGGAACAAAATCCAGGTCGCTCAGAATAGAGTGCTGAGGATGGTACTTGATCGTCCTTTCGACACTAGAATAACAAATTTACACGAAGAGGCAGGCATTGCCAAAATAGATTCCAGAATTACCGAAATTAAGACTAAATTTGCACAAAAACGTAATTTATCAGAACATGCTTTGATAAGCAATTTGTATATAGTAGATTAGGTGGGGGAGGTTGTTCATTGAAACTTCCGGTCCGCTTCGTAGCATAGTGCTTGCTAAGAGGTGCCAGGTGGTAACCCTCTGATTACCTGACGATCGGCCAAATTTGGAAGACGTCTGCATTGAATTGTCCCACATTGTAATATTCCGCCCACTATATCACAATCAATTGCGAGTAGCTGAGCGGAATGGAGACAAGGAAAGCATTTGGTACAGGACCAAGTCTCTCCCGGCTGGCGCCAAAACAATGAACCTGTAAGCAACTGGATCAAGTTGTCATGGGGCACGAAATGATCCTGTTGCATGGCTTGGAGCTGTTGCAATCGAGGAAGGGGGGGGGGGGAGGTTGGGTTGGTGCTAATGTTTGATTTGTTTTTGTATAATTTCAGGTGTTAAGGTGGCTTGCTGCCTCTGGATAGTGGGTTTGACGGTGGTTCAGCAAGAATTATATTGAGACGTACTGGAATGCAACAAACGTGTCAAATTAACTGCATTGGTAACGAAAACACAGAGGAGCGTACACCTGATGTCACACACTAAGGTGATGGTAATAAGGTCGGTGATAATATGACATTTACACAAAAGCGGAGATCAAATCAGGTTGGTCAACGTACCAAAATTCTAAACTTCGATTAAAACGTGGAATCTGTGCAGCACCAGTGGAGAACACTCAAAAGCTGCAGGTCTCATCAACTGCTGCCTGCGGTATATAACTGGTGGCTGGTGGCCTCACAAATGGAT